GTTTAGGGTTTTAGGGTTTAGTTTTTGGGGCAGCAGGAATGACAAGCGGAACACATGAGGGGTTATGATAACGATGCCGATATTTCATAACCAGAGCCATCACCGCGATCATCATCATGACTGCTGCAATGCAGGAAAAGAGCAGCCGGCCCGAAAAAACTGATACTTCGCCAAAGGGCACGCGGCGGGGGCACTGACTTGGCAGAGCCTTCGCACGCACCAGCAGCTCTTCACGAAGTTTCGATAGCCTTGTGGACAAGGTTGTCAACTCCTGTTTGGGGTCTGGGGTCCTTCCATCCGCGGGATACCAAAATGGTAATATAGACCCTGTATGATAGAACCCTTCATATATGAAGCCCCCCAAGAAGGGACCTCTCTCGTTAAGGAAAGCTGGCGGCACAGAGATATTGCAGGGCACCATCGAGAGATTTTACACTCCGGCAGGTCCATTCAGAGCCAAATCAAGCCCTACCCTCAAACAACACCATGTTGCATTCCTCAACACAAAACTTACCTGAAGCCTGGGGGCCTGAACTCAGAACCCTGTGAGCTTAACCCTTAACTTTGCACTCTCACCATGATCCAACCACAAAAGGGATCGACTATCCCCTAACTGCAGCCGCAAAAAAACCTATAGTCTCCATTGTAGTTCCTTTTTGGAGATACCTTATAAAATCCTGAATATATAATTGGTTAAACCAAAACAAGGAACTACAGTGGAGACTATAGGAAGGATCCGCACCCTAAACCCTAAACCCCTAAACCCTGAATAAGGAAGGATTCTGGCCACGAAAAAAAAAAGGCCCAGGAACGGCTCTTGCAACTGGATGCCGTCCGTGGTCGCCAAGGCCCAGGCCAGATTGCCAAGGCTGGGCGTCTCCTGGGTTTGGGGCTTTAGGGTTTAGGGCTTGGGGGTTTCGGGTTTAGGGGTTTAGGGTTTAGGGTTTAGGGGTTTAGGGTTGCCAAGGTTGGGCGTCTCCTGGGTTTTGGGGGCTCTGAAGGGGCTCGCGCTTAGGCTTTCCTAAACCCTAAGAATTGTTCCCTAAACCCTAAGCTTAGGGTTTAGG